AAAATAAAAAAAAAAAACTAAAGGTTAAGCCAACGCATTGCAACCTCCAATTTAGAGAAATGAAAAACAGGGGAGCAATGGGGGCTACCGCCCTTCCATCTTCCTCTCCCATTAATGACAAAATCAAACAAATAAAATGAGACAATAGACATCTTCCTTCCTCTTCAACTATTCCCTTCCAAATCTTTTAATCCAAACTCAGCCAAGGAAGAATTGTTGAGAGTAGAAGTAAAATAAGGGGTTTATTTTGAGAGAATAAAAGTAAAAAGATTGCGAGATAATTAAGGAAAAGAGCAGTGCTAGGGGCACTCGCCTCCTGCACTCTCCGGCCAACACTCCCCCTTTCATTGGGCCGCGTAAGGTTGTTTAAGCTCTGCAGCGCAACCTCTCGCGAACTAAAATAACGTGGCCCAATGAAAGGGGGAGTGTCAGCCGGAGAGTGCAGGAGGCGAGTGCCCCTAGCACTGCTCTTAAGGAAAATAGCACAAATAACCATAGAGAAAGGCGGACAACCTGGAAGGAGCAGAACAAGAACAAGTGAAACCGCTTAAATAATTTACATCAAAATCAAGGAAATAATTGTAAATATATATTCTATAAATGATAGAATTTATCTATACATAAATTTTATTTATTATATTTATATAAAATTTTTATTTTTTTAATTTTCAATAATTAACATTTAATATAATTTTTTAAATAAAAATAATTATTTTTAATAAATATAATAATAAATAAATAAATTTTACTTATTAAAAATAAAAAATAAATGATCAAAATTCTATATAAATATAAACAAAAACTATCTTACAGCGCATCTTATAACGAACTACAACTTCAAAATCATTAAAGGAAGTCAACCCTGATGTTGAGCCCATCTCTCTTCTTTTTTTATACCTTGATTTTGTAGTCCGTCACAAAACAAATAGCAAAATAAAAACTTTTAAATATAATATATAAAATTTATATATAAATAAATCTTTATTATATATATAAATTAAGAATTGAAATTGCTAACTTCAACGATTAATTAATGAATTCTTCGTTTCCCGGCTTAAATTGCACCCAACTGGTTTTACAAGCCCCTTAGAGGTCCCATGCGAGGAACTCTCTCCTAAATAAACTAAAAAATGTTTTGTAGTAAAAATAAATAAATAAATAAAAGGTACCGACACTAACCGTTGGAAGAATCAAATCTCATGGGCGGTGGGAGGAGGAAGCTCTTCGATTCCATGGGGGGGAGAAATTCGAACTGCAAGAAACTAAAGTCAGAAATCCTTAAACAGACCTAAACACCAAAAATGCTATCTCAAAGTTCATCTTAAAATTAATTTCCCCTTCAAACAGTTCCAAACAAAACATTTCAAAATCTCATATATAAACAAAAAGATGTGAAATAAAAATTTCTCTGGAATGAGAATCTGGGGTTTTCAATCCCAAAAGTCTCTGGTCATTTGTGTTGAAAATTATATTTTATTATTTAGTTATTATCTCTATAATTTAAGAAGTTTAAATTATTTATTTGTTTTAAATTGTTATTATTTAAATTAAATTAGATAAGATTAGTTGATTATTTTTTTGTATAATATTATTGACAGAATTATTTTCAGTTTAATATGATATTCAATTTTTTATTTCATCTTTTTTTTCTCGAGAATCCTTGATTTTTTAACAATTTGCACCCAGAAATCTGGAAAATATAATTGCAAGACATGATATTTATAGATGATTCAAGAAAAAATAAATTGAGATGAAAAAATGGGAAACAAATAGCCAACGGCTAGAAATCAAACCTTTGCCATTGAAAAGACCGTTCCAACGACTAAAAGAGTCAACAGCATGTCAGCGCTCTAATTTTTTTAATCTTTCTTGCTCATTTAGGGCCAAAAACGAAACAAAGCACAGATCAATTTCTCTCATTGCTCTAATAATCCTCGGTAACGTTCTATTCTGCAAAAGGCTGAGCGCAGAAGACCATTGTATGTAGGACAGCTTATAAAAATGTGATTAGCTTCATTCATTAAAAGGACAACTTCTAGTCTTTTAAGTTCGACCACAAACGTGGCCCCGTTTGGAATCACAGAAAATTCTATCTAGTTCTAGTGTTCTACCCTCCAACCATGCGCTATCTCTTTCCCTTTCACACAAAACGCGTAAGAGTTTCTCTTGGAATTCTCCTGTGCTAAACGCGTGAGCTTATCCGCGTCTTGAGAGCGACGTGACTCCCCGAGTCAGAAAATTCCAAGTAACTACTCCTTTTGGTTTTTCCCATTCCACCTCCATTTGAATTGTCCTGCTCTATTTTCTCTTTGAACGAACGTAATTCTGGAGAGTAAAAGTAAAAAGAGACGTTTATAGGGCCTGTTTGCTTATCTTAAATTTCGA